AAACCCTGTCTCTACTAAAAATACAAAAAGTAGCTGGATGCGTTGGCACACGCCTGTAATCCCAGCTACTTGAGAGGCTGAGGCAGGAGAATCCCTTGAATCCAGGAGGCAGAGATTACAGTGAGCCGAGATTACAGTGAGCCGAGATCATGCCATTGCACTCCAGCCTGAGTCACAGAGCAAGACTCCATTAAGAAAAAAAAGAAAGAAAGAAAAGAAAAGAGAGAAAAAGAAAGGCTATACTTAGATAAAATAGATTAAAAGTCAAAAACTGTAAAGAGAGACAAAGAAGGTCACTGTATAACAATGAAAATGCCAATACAACAAGAAGATATAACAACTGGAAATATGTATCTACCCAACACTGGAATACGCAGATATTTGGAGAGCAAAATAAGGCAAACATTTGAAGATCTACACAGAGAGATAGAATGGTGTACAACAATACAGGGAGACTTCAGTACCCCACTTTCAGTAATGGAAAGCTTATCTAGACAAAGAAACATTGGAATTAAACTATACTCTAGACCAAATGAACTTAACTGACATTTACAAATTATTTCATCCAATTGCTCTAAAATGTACATTCTTGTCATCAGTACATGGAACATTCTCCAGTATAGAGCATATGTTAGGCCACAGAACAAGGTTCAACAAATTTAAGAAAACACCTGAAAATATGAAATTACTAGAAGAAAAGATTGCAGAGATGCTTTAAGACATTGTTCTGGGCAAAGATTTTTTGTATAAGACCGGAAAAGCCCCGGCAATCAAAGCAAAAATGGACAAATGAGAGTAAATCAAGCTAGAAAGCTTCTGCACAGCAAAGAAAACAGTAAAGTGAGGAGACAACCTACAGAAAGAGAGAATATCTTAGCAAACTATTCATCTAACAATGGAGTAACAAATCGCAATGTAAAATGAACTCAGCTCAATAACCAAAAACGAAATTATCTGATTTACAAATGGACAAATGATCTGAATAGACATTTCTGAAAGAAAGATACAAATGGCCAACAGATATATGAAAAAATGTTCAACATCACTAACCGTCAGGGAAACGCAAATCAAAACCATGGTGAGATACCATATTATCCCAGTTCAAATGGCTCTTCCTAAAAAGAGAGAAAATAGTAGATGCTGGCTAGGAAGCAATGAGGAATGCTTGTATACTGTTGCTGCAAATGTATATTAATACAGCCACTATGGGACATAGGATGGAGTTTCTCCAAAAAGCTAAAAACAGAGTTACCATATGATGCAGCAACCCCACTGCTGAGTATATATTCAAAAGAAAGGAAATCGGTACAGCAAAGAGATATATGCATTCCCATGTTCATTGCATCATTATTCACAATAGCGAAGATATAGAGTCAACCTAAGTGTTCATTGATGGATGAATGGATTAAGAAAACGTGGCATGCATATAAAATGGAAGATTATTAAGTCAGAAAAAGGAATAAAATCCTGTCATCTGCAGCAACATGAATGGAACTGTAGGACACTATGTTAAGTGAAATAAGCCAGATACAGAAAGACAAATTATCACATGTCCTCATTCATATGCAGGAGCTAAAATAATCCATCTCATGGAACTATAGAGTAGAATGGTGGGTACCAGAAGTTAGGAAGGGAGGGGAATAAAGAGAGGTTGGTTAATGGCTACGAAAATACAGCTGGACAGAAGGAGTAAGTTCTAGTGTTCAATAGCATAGTTAGGGCAACCATAGTTAACAATAATTTCATGCTTATTTTTAAATACCTAAAAGAACATTTGAAATGTTCCCAACACAAACAAATAATAAATGCATTAGGTGCTGAGTATCCCAGTTATCCTTTTTTGGTTATCACACATTTTATGGATGCATGAAAATATATGTATTACATAAATATGTACAATTATGTGTAAATTTTAAAAACAGGCAAAGGTCTTAAATATACGATTCTCCAAAGAAGATATACAAATAACCAACAGTTCTATGCAAGATGCTTCCATTATTAGTCTTTTCAGAAACGTAAATCAAAACCACCTCATGATACCAATTAACACCCACTAGAATGGGAATTACTTAAAAAGAACAAATATCAGTTGGGTGGTAGAGAAATTGGAACTCTTCTAGAGTGTTGGTGGAAATGCTATGCAAAGCAGTTTATTCACCTACTACGAAAAGCAGTTTATCAGTACTTCAAAAATTTAAACATAGAAGGAACCGTATGAGCTAGCAACTCTACTCCTAAGTATATACCACAAATGATTGAAAACAAATAAACAAGTACATGTATATACTCACTGTATATATTTTTTAACAATACCCAAAAGGTGAACATAAGCAAACATCCATCACTTGATGAATGCATAAACAAAATGTGATATATACATATGGATATTATTCAGCTACAAAAAGAAATGAAGCACTGACATATATTACAACATGGATGAAATTTGAAAACATGCTAAGTGAAAGAAGAAAGACAAAAAAGGCTACTTATTGTGATGATCAGTACTGAGGGAAAGTAGATTAGTGTTTGCTAGGAGTTGGGCATAGAGTGGAATGGGGAATGACTGCTTAATGAGTTCAGGGTTTTCTTTTGTGGTAATGAAAATGACTTGCTACTACATAGAGGTAGTGCATTGTGAATGTACTAAATGCCACTGAATTTGAACATTTTAATGGTTATTCTTATGTTACATGAATTTTACCAACACAGTTTTAAAAAGTGTGAATATTTTTAAACCTATCATTATTTCCAAGAATAACTAATTATATTTGAAAAGTACTCAAGTTATCAGTGAAGAAAACTTGTTTTAACAATTATACTACAGGAGAATTTCAACATGAGTTTATAAATGTACATATTATATGTGCATAGGAAAGAGATAATAATACATAGCATAGATATTTTTAAAGTGATTATTTCTTCTCACAAGGTTTGACCTACCATATGTTTTCTGCTTATAATTTCTTAAATTTCTTCTAGAGTAAAATACAAAAAAACTCAAGCACTGAAAAGTATAAATCGATATGGATATATTCAAAGATTATAAGGTGATGCTGAAGATTTTGTACAAAATTTCAAACAGCACGAATCCAAGTATACTGAATGTAAAATGTGTGTGGGACTGTGTGTGTATTCATATCTGTTTATATGCATATACAGATTTTAAAATGCCATATATATGTTTTTTTTACACAGGGTCTCATCCTGTCATCCAGGCTGGAGTGCAGTGGCGTGATCATGGCTCACAGCAGCCACGACCTCCCTGGGCTCCAGTGATCCTCTCACCTCCACCTCCTGTGCAGCTGGGCCCACAGGTGCATGTCACCATGCCCAGGTATATTTTGTATTTTTTGTAGAGACAGGGACTCGCTTAATTGCCCGAGATGGTCTCAAACTCCCAGGCTCAAGCAATCCTCCTACCTCAGCCTCTCAAAATGTTGGGATTACAGTCTTGAGCCACCACACTCAGTCAATGGCTTACATTTTAAATCATGGCCAGTGTTATAGTGAGTATATGTTTGAATATGATATTTTTGGCCCACAAATTCATATCTTTAATTCATAGTTATATAAACAGAGACATTAATGAAACCATGTAGCTGCATGTGAGTGGTGTGAATACATCCGTCTTACAGTTTTCTTAGGGTTCACATCTAAGTGACTGCATGTGAGAGATGCCTATTTCAATTATCATGTATTGAATTTTGTTTTCCTTCTTTTGAGTTTTTAAAGATAAAATTTGAAGGTAAGAATTAGAGCTAAAATCTCAAGAATAATTTTAAAATCCTCATTTTCAGAGATATAAGCATGTATAATATACATATTTATATGATATGTAAATATTTATGTGTTTATATATGTATAAACACATTTTTAGATTAAAAAGAGCAATCAGAACGTATTTTTTAATGACTAGTACAATCACAAAGTTCTTTGTATATAATTTCTTGTCTAAAATCAAGAAATTGCTGGTCTCAAACTCCTGACCTCAAGTGATCCGCTCGACTTGGCCTCCCAAAATGTTGGGATACAGGCATGAGCCACTGCGTCTGGCCTGAATCCGATTTAAATGTAAATTTATTGTGACGTTTGACTGTATATATTGTGACTGTATATACAGAACTTTTATCTATGTATTGAAAGTGGGAGCAAATATGAAAAAGGGTATCAGTGTTTTTTATTTTTATTTTTTGAGACAGATTCTCATTCTTGATGCCCAGGCTGGAGTGCAATGGTGTGATCTTCGCTCACTTCAACCTCTACCTCTTGGGTTCAAGCGATTCTACTGTTTCAGCCTCCCAAGTAGCTGAGATTATAGGCATGTGACACGAGCTAATTTTTATATTTTCAGTAAAGGCGAGGTTTCGCCATGTTGGCCAGGCTGGTCTCGAACTCCTGACCTCAAGTGATCCACCTGCCTCGGCCTCCCAAAGTACTGGGATTACAGGCGTGAGCCACCGCACCCAGCCTTCAGTGTTTAATACACAGTTGTATGGCATTGCTTTTCTCTTGATCACCACATCTTTTTAACTTCTTTGCAAATCCCACCTCTTTGTTACTAATGTGAAAATATAGGACTGATTCCTAACTGATAAACAGTAACACACATACACAGTAAACTCATAGGACATAGTTGTAAGCCGTTGCAGTTTAATGAACCAGGAAAATGTTTGTGTTACAATGTTATATAATGAAACCGTAAAACAAATTCCTGGGATCTATCTGATTAGCATTTATAGTCATTCCTGTATTTGTGTACATGCAAGTAGGGTTGTATGTGTCTGTCAAGCTTGAGAGTTATCTGGACTCTTATGTTAGAGCCCCACTAAATAGCAGCCTCCCTCTCAACATACAAGGCCTACTGACTAGGTCTGAACATGGAGTAAAACTCCCAGGCAACCTGGATAGGGAGTCAGGAGAAGAAACACATGGCCTGGTGCCTAGATTTGCTCTCCTCCAAGACCTTAAATGTCAACATCTCTTTTTTTCTTTCTCTTTAGACATGGATCCCTGAGGTTGGTCCCCAATACTACAAGGCAATTTGATATCATAATAGAACACTGCAGACACAATGCTGAGTGAAGAGGAGTAGAAATGAGAAGACTTGGTTGAGCAGAAACTGAATTCTTGAAAGGAAGAGATGCTCGATGAGGGTGAGTGGATGACACCTCAGTTTAATATCCAATAAATGCCAAAAGTGGAATACCTTTACGCAAATGTAGCAAAATGTTAGGTAACCATAGTTTCTGGTATCTTTGTCTCTTCTTGGCCTTTTTTTTGAAACGTGATGGGCGGGAGAGGAGCGACTGGAACAAAATTAGCTGGCTTTTCTCGCACAATACTGCCATCGTGCGGAAATAGTTTCATAACATGCAAAGCCGTGAACGTTTTCTCCCTGTAAGCCCTAGCAGCTGCGGAAGGAAAAGTCGCCCAAGACAAGTTGACATTCCTACCCTTTTCTCTGAGGCCTGGCAGAAGCAATGGACAAATGCAAAGTCTTAGTGAAGTATCTGCTGAGTGAGAGACCAGGACTAAGCCAACTGCTTCCAGGAAGTCCTAGTACAGGAAACAGAGGACAGGGCCTCAGTTTCCTCATACTGGGGACAAGACTAGAAGATGACACAGCCAAATGCAGACCCTTGGGGCATTTATGTCATGAATATGCCGTTGGGAGTTTTAGGCAATCTGGCTGTCCCTGTGTTATGGGGCTGTGACATTTACAGCAGCATTGTTAGGTTGCAATGGACAGGCCAGTTCCAGGGACCGTCTATCTGAAGCCAGTGTCATTCACATGGTCCTCAATACACAAAAATTCTAAACACCGTTGCCTACAACTAGAGGGACCTCTGTAGAGGAGTGAGGATACATTAACATGCCTATGAGGGCCAGATCATCTTTTAGGAGAGCCGATTTGCTAAAGTGGATGAAGGCCAAGAATGTGATGGAAGGCCTAAGCAATTATCTGAGCGCACAAGCCAGCAGCTTCTGTGACTTTATAAGTTCAGGAGAAAGTCTTTTGTCATAATGGGACCCCGATGTCATCTCAGTTCTCTCAAGGAGGGCAGATAGGTGGCTCTTTCCTGTTCGATGTCCTTGAGAGGTATGGCATTGTTTAGGCCTGAGCAAATCATTATGTACTGCATCCAAGCTCGTATTTTCTCTAGCAGCTTCAAATCCATTTCCTAATGAAGATATCCAACCTTTGGTATGGAGACCTCCAGATACTCTATGACTCATAATTGAAGAATCAATAAGGGTGACTAAAAGTGTATGGGTGACTTGATCCTCATGACATTCTTCCTCAGAGTTTATTATCTTAGTATCTGAATTCTTAATGAAAGGAATTAATGTTAGTCTGGTTCTGCACTGTGACATTACAGTGCTTCAAGAGCTTGTTCAGGTATGACCTCTCCTGGCCTCTGAGGATTCAGGCAGGCATTCCAGGGTAAGGCATTCTAGGGTAGCCTGGCTTTTTTGACATCTTTGACTGTGTCTAGCTCTCACTCTAGCTGGTTTTGTTGAGTTGAGTGATGATCTGCAGACATAGATGATATTGGCATGCATGAATGTCCTGGAGACTCTAGGGGAAACATTTCCCCATGATCCTTGTTCCTGGAAAGGACAAAAAGGATATCTTACCTCCCCGGAGTATTTCGCCTAAAATAAACTTAGACATTTGCTAAACTGCCTCCCTCCTATGGAGGAATAGTTTGACCCGACCATTTTCATGGAAGAATACAGACCTACCTATGGGACAGTGTCTCATATCTGAAGGTAGAAATGCTGGTGGTGCCAAACCTAGAATTCTTTAGGCTAAGTGATCTTTTATTCACCCCTTGCTAACTATCTTTAATAAAGTGGCTATGTGCCTGGGCAGTGGATGGAAGCCTGGAAAGGAAATCACAGCTAGCCAACTACCAGTGGCAGTGACAAGGAGATTGATTGGTTTATTCTGCAATGAAAGGTAGTGTGGAGGGGCAATGAGCCTCTCATTCCCATTTAGGTTGGATACATGTCATTCCTCTGTACCAGGTAGTCCCTTTATCCCTCACAATTTCTTTCTTTTTTTTTTTTTTTTAAGGCCGAGTCGCCTTCTGTTGCCCAGGCTGCGGTGCAGTGGCATGATCTCGGCTCACTGCAACCTCCGCCTCCTGAGTTCAACCAATTCTCCTGCCTCTGCCTCCCAAGCAACTGGGACTACAGGCGTGCACCACCACAAACAGCAAATTTTTGTATTTTTAGTAGAGACGGGGTTTCACCATATTGGCCAGGCTGGTCTCCAACTCCTGACCTCGTGATCCACCTGCCTTGGCCTCGCAAAGTGCTGGGATTACAGGCGTGAGCCACCGTGCCTGGCCCATTACAAATTCTTAATTTTATTCTCTGTGTCTTCATAAATAACCATTCCCTGCCTCTAATTTAGGGAGAAAAGAAAAATTATAGAACCTTGAGGATTAAACCTACCACACCGTAAGATAAATGATAAAGTAAAGTATATGTTACTCTACTTCTAACATGTCAGAAACTTAAACCAAACATATAGTCAAGTATGTATTCTATAGAGCCAGTATGCACATTGTGATGCATCTGTAATAATTTAAACAAAAAATTGGCCAGGTGCGGTGGCTCACGCCTGCAATCTCAGCACTTTGGGAGGCCGAGGTGGGCGGATCACCTGAGGTCGGGAGTTCAAGACCAGCCTGACCAACATGGAGAAACCCCATCTCTAATAAAACTACAAATTTAGCCAGGCCTGGTGGTGCATGCCTGTAATCCAGCTACTTGGGAGGCTAAGGCAGGAGAATCGCTTGAACCTGGGAGGCAGAAGTTGCGGTGAGCCGAGATCAGGCCATTGCACTCCAACCTGGGCAAAAAGAGCAAAACTCCGTCTCAAAAATAAATAAATAAATAGTGTCTGCTTTTCTAAAGGAATGTTTTTGAGCATATATTTTTCAGATTTTCCTTCATTTACACTGAAGACTTGAAATGTTGAAAACAACGTTTAGTATTGATGATATTTAAATGAATTAATGCTCTTGAAAGCTTTGTTAAAATACATACTTGATCTGCTCCAAACCACAATGTAGAGTGTAACCCAATTTCAATACAGATTTATTATTTGCATGAAATTAGGAATGTATATATAGCCGGGTACAGTGGGTCACACTTGTAATCCCAGGACTTTGGGAGGCTAAGGTGTTTGGATGCCTCGAGGTCAGGAGTTTGAGACCAGCCTGGCCAATATGGCGAAACCCCATGTCTACTAAAAATACAAAATAATTAACCAGGCCTGGTGGCCTGTGCTTGTAATCCCAGCTACTAAGGAGACTGAGGCAGGAGATTCGCTTGAACTTGGAGGTTACAGCGAGCCGAGATTGCGCCATTGTACTGTAGCCTGGGTGACAGAGAAAGTTTTGGTCCCCCCAAAGAGAAAAAGTGTGTATATATATACACGTATATATTTATTTATATCTATATTTTTATATATTTATATATGTTATATAAAAATATATATTTTATATATAATCATATAAAAATCCATTATTTAATATAATTTATATATTGATATTTAAAAATATATATTTATGTATAAAGTATATTAAAATATATATTTATATATTTTTCATATATTTATATATATTTCCATATATATGGAAATAATCCAAATGGTTATTTTTTGCCTTGACAAATTGTATGGTAGTGCTTTTCATCTTTATTAGCACATTGATTTTTCTCAATCTTTGTCAAGCATTATTCTTTAATTAACTAATAGGAGAATACTGTAAGACTTATATCTAAAATACAAATTATTTAAAAAGACACACACACACACACACACCACTTAAAGTCTCAGGAAATGCCTGAAGAATATGTAGTGTCATGGGACCATGCCGTGTTTTCATGTTAAATGATGAGACCATGAGCTGAAACTCTGAGTAACCTAGACAGGAACTGAACATGTGTAGTATGAGTATCATGCCATGTGGAGCACATATGGCATGCAGTAACGACAGCTTTCTGGTTCCTCCTCTATGATTCTTGCCAAATTGTTGCCTACAATGCAACACATAAGCTAGAAGATGAAGAACTTCCTGGTTGTCGGGGAGAGGGGCCAGGTCAGAGACCACCAAGGTCTGTAACTTGTTTGCTAGAGAAGATCTCTGAGGTTCAAGCGATTTTATCCTTGTCCCTTCATCCCCAAATTTATTCCCTGAAGAGACAGTTTGATGCCATGTAGACTACTGGACCTATAAGTCTGAGGTAAGTAATAATCATATAGACTAGGTTAGGAGGATTTTAAGTTTCTGAAGGAGTAAGATTCCCGATGAGGGTGGGTGGTTTAGGCCTTGGTTTGATTTAAGATGGAAAACAAAACAAAAGTGCCAGAGTAAGACCATATGGCTCCAAACTCAGCAAAAAGCAAGGCAGCCATATTTCCTTGTGCCTTTGTATCTGGGTGGCGTTTTTTCAGACAGGGAAGGCGGGAGAAGAGGGATCCAAGACACATCTTGGCACATCTAGTGCACTACTGCCATCGTGCGGTGGTAGTTTAAAGACACCCTAAGCCACAGCAAAGTTCTTCCCCTGAGGACTACCTGTTGGAGAAGGTCTTATCTGTGGGGACGTGGAAGAGGCCTGGGCCCCATACTGATCCTCCTTGCCTTCTCGTCTAACGCCTTAAAAGAGATGTGGACTTTGGCAGTGTCTTGGTATAGAACCTGGAGAGTGAAGAAGAGCAAATCCTGTAAATTTCCCTTGGAAGAACCCTGTCCATTGTGCGCGGATACTGATGCCGCAAGAGACTCAAAGACCTGTAGCAAGATGACAACATGGGAAAGCCAGCCAACTCTTGCTCTAAGGGGCAGTAACAGGAGACAGATGCCCACAAGAGCCAGAATTCGTCTTTGAGTGAGTTCCTGCTGTCCTGCCCACACCAGGATGAACCGAGGCCCCGCCCCGGACTTCCTGTGCCAGGACAGCCTGGCAGCGGCTGCCTCACTTCAAGCCCCTCACTCTCCAGTTTCTACACCAAGATACCGTCAATGTCCCGGCCTCTCTTAAGACCTTAGAGGAGAAGGCAACAAGACCTAGTCTGGAGCCCAGTCCTTTTCCACCTCGGCCCAGATCAGACCTTCCCCCACAGCGCGACATC